TGCAATATTTTAATTTTCCTTTTTTTTTAGGCTGGAGTATGATAGGAAGTCCAAATTCAATATGAATTTCTGAATTCAGGAAGAAGTATACCTTTTACTTTTTTGGCCTTGATTAGTGTGCAGTACCAGCCTACTTCACTTGTCCTTCAGATTACTGTAGTATGCAGGTACATTCATGTGGAAGGAGAAGTCTGTCATCCTTTGGAATTTTTTTTTCCGTAATTCTTCATTTCTGTCTAACTTCTCACTGACAAGGTAAAATAGAGATTAGTCACAGTGATTTTTAACCTCTTCAGCTTTCTGAAAACATCCCCCAAGAAGGTATTGTCAAACTTCATCACTCCTCTTTTTCTGGAATCCTGCCATTGTAGATTCCATTTTAACCCCTGTTCCTCCCCAAAATCAAAACACAAAATGAGCTCTAGTGGGACCTGTTCTATATGGTTAATTATTCACCCAGTGCTATGATTGTGTCAAATCTTCTGGAATATTTTCTTCCAATGAAAACCTTTTTTTTTTTTTTTGTTTCATCTAAAAATATCAAAACTAGCAGTGCATTTTTTCTCATTTGGATCATCTTCCCCAACAGTTTTTCTGTAGAGCACAGGACAATCATGTAACAATGTACTAAACACATTGCTTGCACACATGCTAAGGTTTCAATTACTATTAACAGAAATTTAAGGCTGAACCTCAGAAAACAGTTAATTAGAGGAAATGAACTGCATCCATGACCTTGGAAGACTCTATGTGTGCTAAACAATATTTGATATATTTAGCTTCTTTGCAGGCTAGATTTTAAGGGCATGGAAACAGGGGAACTTCCTTGCCCACAAAGGTTTAAATTTCTGATACTGTTTTGCTTTCCCTTAAGGTACTATAAATATCCTAATATGGTGCTGTATTGGAACTTCATTTTTAAAACCACTTTCTTAAAGGCAGGAAGAAGAAAAAAAAAAAGAAGATATGAATATGGGGAATGAAAATGCAATGGCTGCTTTGTGTAAGATTTGTCCTGAAAGACTTGGCCATTTAAACTGAGTGTGTCAGTTTGGAGCATTTCCTTGATTATCTGGCAATGAATGCTAGAAAACAGATTGGCATTTTATTTCTTGGACTCGGCCTGTTTCTCATACAGAGATTATTAGCTGGCTATTTTGAGACTGAGAAAAATGTTAGCTTTAAAAATAAAAAGGCTCATTAAGGCCTAATGAGTAGGGTTTTTGCAGATACTTTGAGTACTTCTCCTTCTCAAGTCGTTCTGTGTAATATGGGCTGGTTTACAGGATCACCTGTACCTCAGAGCATGCCCTCAAAGCAAACTTTATTTACACTGTTGTTAATATAGATGTTTCTTTAGGATGGCTGGGCTCTAGCATCCATCTCCTTGCCTTGTTCTGCAGGCTCTGCAATGGCACATTCAATTAATTTAACATTTCTGATTTGTGTGAAGTGTTTCTCTTTTGCTGCAGAAAGTTGGAAGCAAATCCTCTGCCTTCCAGGACACTCATCTAGAAGAGTTGCTGCATAAATGTTATTAAGGTTCCCTAAAGTTTTGTTCCATGTTGTATAAATGATCCAGCATAGCTGCTCAGCTGACTGGCAGAGTGAATATCGACTTAATATCATCCTGTTGAACCAGCATCCATTTTAGTTCAATTATTCTGGATTCCATTTGGGATTTAGTATTCAGCAGAGTGAGTCCCAAATGGGGAAATTTTATTGCATGTTTTACCTTGGGGTTTTGGGGGGTTTTGTTTGTTTGTTTGTTTGTTTGTTTCATGTATTTACTTTTCAGAGTTGTTATTTATTTTGGGGCTGTTTTTCTCCAGTCTGGATGAAGCAGATAAGGATTGCATACGTGAATGAGATTTGCATAAGGGGGTGCCAGCAGGGGAAAAGAGGTGACTTCACTTTTGTTTGCCCTATAATGGTAGCAACATACAAACCAGAAAACCCACAGAGAGCACAAATCTGATGCAAGACTGAATATTTAAATTAGCAAAAAAATTCTGTGTAAGAAAATGAAGGGACATAGAAAACTTGGACATAAATCTTGTCTCAGTTAATTTTTTATTTTTTTTTTTGAGAACTAAGATGATGAGAATGGCTGATTCTGTTGATCCCATAAACAAAATTCCCAATTCTCATTGTTATGTTCGGGGTGGACCTGACATTGATAGAGGTTCATTCTAGATATGCTGGGACAAACGTCTTAAGTGACAAAAATCTTTTTGGGATGTTTTGAAAATGAAATATGAAAGCTCATGCCATAGAACTCCAGTTTTAAGTGCAAATATTATCATTTCTGCTGCAAATTTTTTGCCTGCCTGATGAATTATCTTTATACTTGAGTCACTGAATAAAAAATAGAGCCTGTAATCGTGACTTGTCGTTAAGGATGGTGAGTATGTATGGGCAGAAAGGATAATAAGCAACATTTTAATATAATGTATTTTAAAGTCCTGAAACATAAAATCTTCAAAAATAATAATAATTTAAAAAGTGATGAATCTCAAAAAATGGGAATTCTCAAAAACACCTACAACTATTTCTACCCAAAAAAGCCTTTGGAGTAAAAGTTTTTGTATCCCAGACTGCTCAACTAAAACCAAAACTAGAAAATAATTACTGTGGTAAGATCACTTGTCTGCTGTTGCTCAGACAAAGCTTGCACTTACAAATGGCTGTGCCCCAAAAGTGGAGTCCTTGTGTGAAATCTTACCTACACTTCAGCCCCAGAGGCAGAACTCTTCATTATTTCAGTAAGACAAGGGGTTTAGTGTTTGTGTTTATCTCTTCAAAGGCACAAGTAAAAATCTGTTAACTTGGGGAGCCCAACTCATGAAACTTGACATTGATATGTCCTGCACTGCTGCTTTCTTAAGTCACAGAGCTGTGAAAATGAAGAAAATGGGAAGTCAGCTGGTGGGAGAGGGTCACCTCCCACCACCAAGCCATGTGTAACCCCAGAGAACTACATCCAGCTACTCTGAAATACTCCAGAATATTTATAAGATAATGATTTTATGCCACTCCTGGGGAATACAGCACCGAAATAGTGGCAACATAAATATGTTGTGTTAGGGGGGGTGGCCAGCCATCTGCATCAGAATGTTTTAAAAGCAGCAGTTATCACCAGACCTTAAAAAGCAGAACAAACAAATGAAATTTTTTTTCTTATGTGGTACATGTTGCTATGCATCCTTTATACAATTTCAGCAATCCAGCTAAAATAATTAAATTCTAAATGCTAATATTTCCTCGTTCAAAAATTTAGATTTTTAGCTAGCAAGTTTCACCTGTGTTTGGCCTGAGGTCTTTGATGGTAAAGAAACCTCTGGGCAAAACACCTGCCAAAGCATTGAACTTGCTATAGGATAGGATATACAGTGTCAGGAGCCGAGGACTGAGGGAAGTATTGATCTCCCCTTCTTGTGATTACCTCCAGGGTCCTTCTGTGCCCCCTAAATACAACAGAAACAGCAGGGGTCGTGTTTGTGTGGTGCAAGTGGATGGGCCAAGCAAAACAGAACCAAAACTCTGTCCCTGTTGGTTTCTCCCATAGCAGGGGCAATAGCTCAAATCTGCTTTACAAGCCACTGGCTTCACTATTTCTGGGAACTTGAAAGTATTTTGAGACCTCCATTACTTGGCTAAATTCGGCCAACAGTGGTTATAGGATGCTAGGCCAATGAACAAGCAACTTAAGCAAAAAGTTTTATTTCCCAGAGGACTGTAGTGCTAAAAGGCAGTAAACAACTTGTTCTTGCCCAAACTGGCTTCAAAGCAGTTGTTGCTCTGGTGGGGATGAATGCAGATTTAACAGAAACACAACTTCTATTGTAGGCAAATGAAACATTTGACACTTGTGGCCTAGATATTCTGAGAAAATAAAACTGGAAAATGATGAATTACAGATGCTGGTAAAAATTCTGTAGCTTCAGACAACTAGATGGGAGATTGAAACCATGCTGAGTCACGAGAGTCTATTTCAGAACTTGAGTTTGTGGGTAATAAGATAGTCATTCAAGAAGATGAAAGCAGGTATGTTAAAATGCCTTTTCACAGAGCCAGTAATGGTGCAAAGGACTGTCAGTGGACAAAGGACATCAAAACCTGAAATGACATTTGAAAAACCTACTCCCATTTTTTGGGGGCCAAGCTTAAATGCAAATGTCAGAGAAGTTTTTCAGAACCTTTTTTTACTATATTGATTTTGGGAAGTAAGAATGTCTTAAGTGTGGAATAATAGACTTCCTCATGCAAGCTAAAGCCTGACCTGCCACAGAGAAGGTGCCCAGCCTCTTGTTTCCTTATGTTACAGAACTGGGCTAAGTCGCCATCAGCTCATCTTTACCCTCTTCTCCTACCAGCATCCTCACATTGCCCTGCATGACTCCCCTATGGGGTGTGCTTTCCAGATCAAATCATCAAATCCTTAGTTTCCTTTGTCTAATGTCTTTCTGCCTCACTGCTCTTCTTTTAAAAGGAAGTTGATCGTTTGCTCCTTTCTCGTAAAATAGTCCTAATATATGCCCTCCAAACTTACTATCCAATAATTTTACATGATCTGCTGCAATTTTTTGGCATTTCCCACCCTCTTCTCTCGTCTCTACTTCAGTTGTGAAAGGTTATTTGGACAGGGTTTGGCTTGCTTATATTTAATAACTTTACAGAACCTGGCATAAGCAGAACTCTTCGTTAGGACCCGTGGATGGAATTGTGATACTTATAAACAAATAGTCTGAGCTGGTTAAAGGGCTGGAGTAAGATCTGTGCCTGGTTTAGAGCTGGGAGCTCTGAATCACATCCTCTGCAGGTACCTGCATACAGTGTGGTAAATGTTTTGGGTTTCTTTTCCCTCTTCATGCCCCATTTGGAGCTACGTTCTCTCATGGGATGCAAGCAACTTCTGTGGACTTTGAGAGGAATTATTCCTGCTCTGCAAGTGGAGAGCAGAGCCCACGAACTGGACTGAAGCCAACGTTCTTTAAAAGTTCACATGCCTTGTATTTGCTCTCTAATTTAGGCTCCTTCTGACCAAACAAAGAGGGAGGGAGGGGGAGAAGAATGAAAAATAGTAGCATCTGTGTCAGTAAAAAATTCTAAGGGTTAACATAACGTGATGTAAACTGTTTCATCTGTTCTTCCTCCTTGCCTGTTTTAATCAGAAATGAGTAAGTAGAGCTTATATGCACTGAACTTGAAGAATGCTAATGGGATGTCTGCATCGTGTTGTACTCAGACTACTTATGCCAGAATAGGAAAGCCTTTAATTCTGTGATTCTCTGAGGCAAGCAAGGCTTTCTGAAGAGTTACTTTAAATTTAAACTCTCATTCTAATGTTAGGCAGCCTGTTGGATCTCTGAGTTAAAAATTGCTGCAGCTTTAGTTACTAGAGCCAGATGTAACATTGACCTTAAATGGTAAAAGCTCCCCAGAGTGAAGAGAGGCTGGCCTGAGGGAAAAAGAGGAATAACTGGAGTTTTAGGTAAGTCATCTCTATAACGGAGAATAAGCTCTTTTTCAGCCGGGAGACAGAACAGAACCATGTTTCCTCCTTAAAGGTACAGTACCTTGTTGTTGGCATACCGAGTAGCTGGTTCTTTCCACCTTTTCTCCCCCACCCTCTTCAAATTCTACCTCAGATTTTAGCTGCTTGAAAACTGGGTGTAGATAATGAAAGCTCTCTCTTCGTTCGTGCTGTTTGGGAGTATGCTAGACTGAAAGAGAAAAGGCTGTGCTAATTACGCTGAGACTTGATTAATAAAGGTACATAGTCAGTAATTCAAGGCAACCTGAGTCACAGATGCTGTACCTGTATTGTTAACCAATCGAGAGTTTTAGTTAGGAGCAATACATGCTATAGAGAAAGAGATAAGTCGCAGATTTCTCTTTTGATTTTTTTTTTTTTTTTAATTGTATGACTTTCCTTCTCATGTGCTCCTAACACTGCCAGAGTGCTTCACGTTGAGGGGTTCCCTACTCGTCTGGAACTTATCTTTTATAAAACCATTTCCAGACCCATTTCTCTATGCGGTGTGTGTTTGGTTTTAATCCTGTTAGATGTAAACTAAGACCATGAAGTTGTGATTAATTGGAATGCTGTACAGGAAAAAAAACAAGCCCACACTCATATGTTAAAGCTTTAGTATAGAAAATCTCATTATTTACTTTCCCTGATATTTCGGTCTCCAGTTTTATCTGTGCTATTTGGTAGGTACTCTGCAATGAAATGCATCTTATTTTCTTGGCAACATAAAACTCATTTTTGTCTCACTAATGTGTATGTTAAGGTCTTCTTTACTCCAGACAGCAGTGTGTAAACAATATGAAAGAATGAGGTCAGTGCAAGGAAATGATAGCTGAAATTGGAGGCTTACTTTCTACCTCTAATTCATATTAGTTACAACTTGTGTAAGGGAGTTGATTTTTCAAGCCTATGTAGGATGGCTTCACCTGGTGAACAATCCTCTGCAAGCAGTAGTGAATTTCCATCTGTGCAGAATGATTAGACAGTGGTTTTTAGTTTATGCTGTGCAAAGACTGGGTGAATTTAGAGTTGTGAGCACAGACAGTGTTCTGTGAGCGCTGACAGTTACTGCATTTGTATTTGATTTGGTAAATGTTGTGCATGCTTTAATGAAAATTTACTTCATCCAGCGTCAAGAGAATGTGATAGAGACATCTTACTCATTAAAGCATTTCAGATTCTGTTTTCCTTTTATTTTTCTCTGGACTATCATTAGTGCACAGCTCAGTACTTTCAGGTTAATATTCCAGCTGACCTTCATGTTTTAAATCAACAATTATATCCCATATCAGCAATTATACCAAACTTGGAGCTTGATGATCTAATGATACAGCTCATAGAAATCTAAGTTTATTAGAACCAGCAGTAGAAATTAAAAATCACTCCAGTGTATTTGTTTTTGTATTTAATAGCCTCTAAAGGCCCTTGTTCTGATTTGCTGGTGTGTTGCTTGCATGTGTTACTTTACTTGTGATGTTTTATCCACCTCTTCAACTTGAGCAAGGATGTATAACTTTAGATGGTGTTTTAGAAGGTGTTCAAGTTTTATCTGTGTCTAACTCCTCCAAGTCTGAACCAGTTTTATGTTTCTGATATCTTGTGGCATTTCAGCAACTATTGTTCTTATTGTATACGATTCTTTTTTATTTTTTAACTTTAAGGTATGATGTAGTGCCTATGTGTAAATTTATCTTCGGTGCAGATATTATGATGACAGTAAGTGTAATTTAATGCAAAAAGTACAAGTTGGTTATTCGTACATAGTGAAAATGGTGTGTTAACATCAGCACTGTGATAACTACCTAGGATTATCAATGTATGTGACTTATAAAAAACTATCTGCTTTACATCCTTCTGGATTAAGTTCTGAATTATCTGTGGACATAAAACTTGTACACCTCCTTGCTTCCTATCTTTTTATATGTCCGAGTCAGTTTTAATAACTATAATCCTGTTTATCTGGGACCAAAACAGTGGAATTTGGGAGTTTTCTAGCAGCCAGATTCAGAGCTCCAGTGTTTAGCACCAGCCTCTTCCATCCTCCTTTGGATCAGTCTGCTTCCTGCCAGTTTTTGAGGATAGTATGGTGTCAAATAACTTTTTGGAAAACTGGATAAGACAAAGGTGTAGGGAACTGAGGTGTAGGGAGCTGGTACTGAGAAGACACTGCTGGGAGAGCTTCTCCTTCCAAGAGTCGTATATATATGTGCTGGAGTTCTCTCATCTCACCTATTTGTTGTTCTTAGAGAAGTGAGTAAGTCCAGGAAAAAGAAGCATCAAATGGCTTGTGAGTGGAAGGGGAAAGAAAATCCTTACTGTTTCAAGGTTTGTAGGCTATTTAAAGGTCTGGGGGATCTGTGGGCAGAGAGAGATCTCTTTTCTGTCCTAACTTGCAACCTTCCTGTAAACTAAGCAGAAGATTTTCCTTCTGATGTGTTCTCTGCTTGTGCTTCCTTTGAAAAGTGGGTCAAAGAGATATTTTGGATCTCAGTATCACTGACAGAAAGGAAATCTGAGTGGGTGAAGGATCTTTGTAAGTTTATAGACTAGCGACTCAAGGCATGAATTACTGCTTATGTTCACGTGTAGTGGTATGTTGTGGAGAACTAAGACTGTGACTTATGGTAGTGCTCTGAAATTATCAGTTTCCCTCCCTGGAAAGTATTTCCTAAGAATTCTGAAAAGGAGAAAGGGATTTGATATTTGAGCAAGAGGACTTGTAGCCTCGAGTTTTGTTGGAGAGCTGGGCCTAGAAAAGCGTCCCTGGATTTAATGCTCTGAAGTAGATAGATGTAATAATTTTATTCTTTTTATTTCTTAACTTTGGTTTACTTAAATATGCCTATCATTAATTTCACAATCTGAAAAATAATTTTAGAAATTCCATTTTACTTAGGAATCCCCAAATGTATTAAATATCTGCAAGATTTAAACAATAACAACGACCACCATAAACCTCTAACTAATAGCTTTTACCTGCCCTTAAAATGTACAAAACACAAAGCCTTCAGGGATCACAAGTCATCAGGGACCTGTAGTGTTGTAGATATGATCATCTGTGGGTTTGGAAGAGTAATGCCTGTAGAACATGATCTTTTATAATGCTCCCTCAGATTGCTGGGAGCGAGGAGGAGAGGAGCAGGGAAGGAAACAGGCAAACCTGCCAGCTGACGTATGGCAGGTGTGCCTGCAAACCTGAAAGTTTCTTTCCCCAGCTAACGCTGAAGCATATTCTGTTGTGCTTTGTCATGATACAAATTTATACTTTAGAATCAGTGTTGTCCCCAGTTTACTTGTAAATACCCTTGGTGATTGTCCCGACAGAGCTGCTGTCTCATGGCTATGAAATAGAGTCCACTGGGCTAGGTACTGCAATCTCTGCAAAGGGGTTGAAAAGTTGATTTAACAAAAAATGGTGGTGTGGAAAGCACTTTATGTAGGAGCTGCACACTCTTCTCTTATCCATTGTAATGTTTTGCATCCTGGAAATGGATACACGATAGAAAATCTGCACTGCTGGGTCAAGCACACCATTACTCTGGGGCAGGTGTTTGCCTTCTGAGTAACATTAGTGCTGTTTAGAGAATTCTGCAGAATGGTTTGCAGTGCTGAACTTATACACAGGGAATTTGGCTCTGAGCCTCTGCTTTTGAACTCATCAGCGAAGTTTCCATCCACTTCAGTGGTGCCAGATCAGGCACAGTGAATACCACAAAGGCACAGACTATGATAGTCAGCAGGGAAGAGGCTGCAATGCAGGAGGATTTGAGTAGGGGAAGTGGGTCTATTTTACCCCTCTTATTTTGGACTTACAGGCATGCACTAACAAGTTATAGGACCTATAGAATGAGATATTTTTCTGAAATTTTGGAAAAGAAAAATCCCCTGTTTCATTTTCAAATGATCCCCCAGTTTCTCTGAACAGGCATTTTTAGAATGACGTGCACATATACATGCAATAGAATATGATGAAGTGTGGTAAGTTAATTAGCATTTCCTGTTGGAACTTCCAAAGCTGTGCTGAACTGTGCTGTAACTGCTGAACAGAAATAGAAAATTCAAGTGTCTAGCCATAAATTGAGGGAGAGTTTGTGGAGAGGAAAGGAAATAATTTAACGCTGCATAAAAAAGGCACACGTGCTTTGCAATCTCAGCCACTGAATTTCTCGTATCTTTCTTTTTAAATAGTGAATGAAAGTGACTGAGCTTTGGGCTCATGAAAATAGCATGAAATAATTAGGGGCCTAGTTGCAGTGGAGGGTGGATTTTGTTCCAGGAGGAGGTGCTAAGTCAAGCTGATGTTCTGCGCCTCAGACTGGAAAACTCTTGGAAGCAAACCTACACATTGTGCAAGTATAGTGGTGCCCATCATCTTCACGTCCCTGAGGGCTCTTGCAGTTAATAAACTTATCATTCTTACTCTTTGATAGAAATAATTATCAGCATTGCTCTAAAAGGTAGTTTTAGTAAGTGCAGTAGTTGGTGGAGCAGACTGTAGGAAACCACACAGAGGTATCAGAATTCCCAAGTATCTCAGGCAGGAGAAGCAAGATTAGAAAGACTTGAAAATTGCTCTGTGTTTACTCAATGAATTAAGTGAAAATATCTGTAAGGGGCAGGGAGAAAGAATCTGTGGGATATATTCTAAAACCTCAACATGTAAAACTCAGTTTTTATCTGTGTGTTGAGCTTTTGGGATCTGTTTGAAATCTCTCCTGCATAAAACAGCATTAAAAGTCCCTTCCAAAGTTCATATATTATGTGCTAATGGAATAGAGTCACTGGAATATTAAGAACTTTGTACTTGTATAAGAAACTTTTGACATTTTCTGTTAGATTCATTTTTTTTAAAGTCTTTGACATTTCCTGCTTAATAGGTTTTAAATGTTTTTCTTGGTAAAATGGCAGATATCAACCATCTCACTTTATACAAAGCTGACATATAACTTTAACAGAAAGGTGAATAATACCTCAAGATCACCCAGGAGATCTGTCCTGTTGCTGTTTGGCTTTTCTTGTCTAATAATGTGTTCCGGAATTATATTAAATACCAAGTGGTGTTTTTTTACTGGTCACTTGTAGAAATGATACAGAACTTAAAAGAACCCAGAGTAAACAATACTATACAAGAGAAAAGCAGCCTGGTGTTCATTGAGAAGAGTGTGGCCAGCAGGTCAAAGGGGAGGTGATATTCCCCCTCTGCTCGACCACATCTGGACTGCTGTGTCAGGTTCTGGGCTCCTCAGTACAAGATAGACAAGGAACTTCTGGAGAGGGTCCAGGAGAGGCCACAAAGATGATGAGGGGTCTGGAGCATCTCTCCTATGAGGAGAGACTGCGGGAGCTGGGCCTGTTTAGTCTGGAGAAGAGAAGACTGAGAGGGGATCTCCTTAATTCACATAAATATCTCAAAGGGATGCCAGGGGGATGGTGCCAGACTCTTTTCAGTGGTGCCCAGTGACAGAACAAGGAGAAATGGCTGTAAACTAAAAACACAAGAAGTTTCATCTCAACATGAGGAAGAACTCCTCTCCACTGAGGGTGGCAGAGCACTGGAGCATCTGCCCAGGGTGGTCATGGAGTCTCCCTCTCTGGAGACGTTCAAAACCCACCTGGACGTGTTCCTGTGTCACCTGCCCCAGGTGAACCTGCCTTGGCAGGGGGTTGATAATCTGCAGAGGTTCCTTCTAACCCTAAGAATTCTCTGATTCTGTGAGTCTTATAATGAAAATGATGAATTGTATTTCCTTAAACCATGTAGCAGGCCAAACTTTCACTTGTAAATCGCTGCTGTTGTGTTTGGTGTGGAGCTTTGCCCATGTGCATGAATTAAGGGTCTGTCTCAGTGGATTTTGATCCCTCCTGAGAACCTGGCTCCACTTAATAGGAAAAGTTTCCCTTTTTCTTTTACTTAACAGGTAAAGGTCAAAGTTGATGGAACATTTTCCCCTTCAGAGCAAGACCTGTTTAATTTGTTATACAGCTTTTCACAAAACGGGCACAGATCCAGCAAGTTTTTCACCCAATCTTATTCTCAGGTAGTAGTTAGTGATATGCTTTCTCAGAACAAAGTCCTTTAAACTCTCAACAAAATCACTGAAACTCACAATATGCCTCTCACTTGTCTGTCTGCTTATATGATTCAGAAATTGTGAAGTCCTTTCTTTTGAAGGTGGGTACTGTGCAATCATCCTGTGTACTTATCTTCTGAGCATCTGCTTGGAAAATAAAACAACGTGCCATTTTGACATCCAAGAAAGTGCTATAAAAAGTCTGTTGCTATGTTTAAATGCCTACACTCGGTTGCTATAGCAATAAAAATATCAAAAATGATGTACGAATTGCCACAGTGCATTACCAACCCTTTCCTGGACAGGGAGATTGTGGGACTGGGAATGCGACAGAGGTGCTCAGTGTGTTAAAGGGCAGAATTGCCCCATAGTTTCAGGTGTCCTACACTGTCCTGTGTGAGCAAAATGTGGCCTAATTGTATAAATCCCAAAGTAGCTGTGTCAGTTTGGACAGTTGGATCCCTGCTTAATTCAGTTGCTTCTTCATGACTTGTGTGACAGAGTTCAATATTTTGACTAAGTTCCCATTTCTCTGCAAGACAAGCTGCTGAAAATGTTGACCTTTCTCTAAATTCCTTCAGTCCCATGATATCAAGTGTGAAAATCAGCATACAGAGGGCACCTCCCTGGAACATTACAATGGTCAGTGTGAAAAAGCCTCGTTCCTGAGGCAGTTATGGGAACCCTGCTATCAAAAAGAAAAGAAAGTGTATAGTAGCTCATGGAATCCTTAGCACCTCTCTGGGGCTCAAAGCCTTGAACATTCAGTTGCTTCTTGAAGAGAGCAGGAAATTCAGCTTCCTTCACAAATCATTGTCAGTAGAGGAAGGCATGTTATTTTGGCAGCTGCGAGTTCATTTACGGAATTAAATGGTTTCTTCAGACATTTCTATGCCTTGTTCTCTCCTCCAACTGAATAATGTTGGGGAAAAGACTTGGAGACATTGGAATCTTGATTGAAAGCAATAGAACTGTTTGGTTCTCTTAATTTCAATTTGCTTGAATAATCCTTGAAATGGGCTCAAACATCAGAATGGTGTGTTGTCAGTTTGATTATGGTGATCCACAACAGCCCCATAATTATTCAAAGTGTTTTCCTTAACATATACTTTGAAGTTCACTTGAGAGGTCTGATAGCAAGAATGTAGCAGTGGTAGAAATGCATATTTTTAATGTTTGTTTCATTTGTTATGTATTGATTAATGCTCTTGTTCAAGGGTGTTTTTGCTACAGTGATTCTTAGGGACACTATGGTATAGGTTGAGGATACACTTAAATTCTCCAGTACTTCTGAGTACCTTTGGCCTGTTTTATTTTTGTAAAAAGACTGAATAAACTCATACCATGTACTTGGATTATAGGTTTCCTCAAAATAAGGTTAACAATGATATATGGATATGATATATGGCACCCCTCTCATTTCCACTAGCTTGTGTTTGCAATCTTATTACAGTATTTTTCTGTAATGGATTTTGAGCCCCTTTGGGATTTAATTACAGTATTTCAATTTTGTGGGACATTTTGTAGCTTTACAGCTGCACAAACTTCCAGGAGTGTGGAAGCATGTGTCTTTCTCAACCTCTATGGGGATTCTTTGTTTACTTTCCTTCTCAGCTGTTCTGCACAGAGAACTGGACAATCACCTTTCAAAAGGGTTTATGCTTAAACAAAAATGTCAACAGCACTAATTGTGGGTTTGGTTTGTTGGTTGTTGGGGGTTTTTTAGCAAATTTAATAGGAGAGTCTGGACATTAGATCCATAAATATTTATTGATACTTGTTTATTAAACTCTTCTTGAAATTCCCAAAGTTATCTTTTTATGTTATCTTTTGGGAGATGCTTCTGTGGCAACACATAATGTGCCTGTAAAATCAACACATCTGTGCTTCATTTACAATATGGTAGCTTTTACTGCTGAGAATATGTGGTTACATGAATTACTTAGTTGGGGAGAAGGAGAAGACAACAGAGGAGATGTGTGAAATTTAGAAACTGTAGCTTTTATTTTTCATTAAACTGCCAAATACTTCAAGCAGAGAAACCTGATTTTCCTTAGAGCTGTATCTATAGCACCCTCACCACAACTGTTATGACATCAGCTTATTCTGTATTTAAAAGCTACCCTACGTAGTCTTTATTTTGGACAACTGTATATCTGAACTGGCTTCTGCCATGGAAATGCAAATTGCCTGACACTGCCAGTCCCTGCAGCAGCTTTGGGTGGAACTGCCCACCAGCTTCTTGCAGAGCAGGGGGAAAGAGGGGGAGCTGGACAGACAACAAGGCTATGCAAGCTTTTTCCAAGGAAAGAAGTATTATATGGCTATTGGTTAGAGACACACTTCACGTTATAGATTGTCCACTGGGCTTCTTCAAGTGTTAGCTATGCATTTATTCTTTCCAAAATCTATTTTTGGTATTGTTTTCCTTGGAATAGAAATTGTGCTGTTATTCTGGTTGTCAGCCAACTATCCTTCCCCCTTCTTCCCTGCCCTCCCTTCATTCCCTCTGAGTACCCTTTGAACTTGTCCAGCTTGCTGAATTTGTCAAGAGAGGATCACAAAAGTATTATGCTCCTACGAGTGAAAATCAGTGGTGTGGTAAGAGGAGAGACCGAGCCTGGAGCTGCTGAGGGGAAAGGCTCCACTGTGAGCTGAAATCCCCACGGATCCTGTTTGATCTGCCAGCTGGCAACCGGGCACACGTGAAGCTTAAAACCAGGCACAGCAAATGCTGTCCCTTGGCCCTCCAGATTGGCAGGAGACAAGGAGACAAGTGAACTTGTTATGAGTGAGATAGAAAATCATTAAAATGCAATGCCTGAAGAACAGGTTTTGATAGCTCAGCTGCTTAGAAACAACTCGTTTCTTAACAGTAGGGACATAGAGGTTACAAAACCATCTTTTTGTGCACTGATGTCTTTATTTTGGAAAATTGTTATAATGCCTGTGAAACACATAACGAAAGTTACAGCCTGATAATTCTCCTGTGATTTCACACCAGCTTTTAGTAGTTGGTGGCAGTCCATGTGTTTGTCTTCTCTCCCAAGCAGTGCAGGCACTGTTAGACTGTACTGCAGGCCCTCCTCTGTTTTGCAGATTTTTCCATTGAGGCTGCAGTGCCTCAGAGGAAAAGTTCCGAGGGAACAGTCTATAGACCCTCCTCAGCCAGCTCTTCAGGCATGTCAGTCAGGTTCATGGGAATGTTGTTAGTGCACAGGTTCTTCCCATGGCAAGTAAATGTCAGCCAGCCGGGTAGAGGCAGCCATTCCAATTAGACTTTCCTTATGCAACAGATGTTTTGAATCTGAGCCAGGGAGGATAAAGTAATGCCCAGAGACGCTGGCCCTTATCTGCTTTCTGGTCATTTGAAGAAAGCAGCTGAGGCTCAGTAAAAAATGGCAGGCTGATATCTCGTTTGCTCCTAAGCAAACTGACTGCATACTTTATTTTGGTTGGCCCCTGATTGGTTGCTCTGTGAATATTTGAAATAAATTAACCTGTGGTAACATCCTGTTTTCTTTCTTTGCTTGATCATCTGTTTGGGAGGAGTTGTTTGTTTTGCTTGAACAAACAACAACAAAAAAACCCCTTTTCTGTCTAGATAACATTAAATTTGTTTCTTATGCCTAAAAACAGGAAGTTCCTGCTTACAGCATTCCAGCCATCAGACTGCTGAATATTCATTATCCTTTCTTCACCTGCGCTGCAGGGCACTCTGCTGACCAGGAGAGTTCCTGACCTTAAATTCCTCTGATAGGTAATAAGCTTTCTGGTTGCATTTAAAATTTTACTTCAGTCATTTGAAACAATTGGGCTGATTTCTCATCTGTGTCTCAACCAGTGCAGTTAATAGGAGTCTTGCATATACAAGACTCACATAGGTCAGTTATTATTCTGACAATTTATAACACATTTCAGTCTTTTTTTTTTTTTTTGGTTGATTAACATATATGTTGACCATTTGCTAGTTTTTAAATTAAGTGCTGAATGAATTTTAATTAAATTGTTCCTTTAAAATTAGTATAAAAGTTACAGATGAGAATATATGGAACACTAAGCAACTATTTCTAGAAGATAAAAATCATTGCTGGATTGTCTAAGTAATATCCAAAAGCTATATCTTTGTTCATTACTGTCAAACATAATTCCTCTGAATTGAATGCTCTGCCTGGATGGATGTTCAGGAAGGGAAGTTACGTCATAAAACTCAGTCTGGAACTGTGCATTCTTGGGTACTGAAGGTGAAAAGTGGTTTGGGTATGTGACAAGTGAGATTTAGTTCAGAAGTGCACAAGATGAGACTGCTATTAGATAAAAAAAATGAGTTTTAGTGCAGTGAACTTAATAATTGGAAGCCAGCCTGAAGCAGTATGACACAATACCAACATCTCAGAAACACCTCAGGTGAGGAAGGAAGATTCAGTGGCCCCTTGCACTAAGATCATTTCTTCTTCACAGTGGTAAATCTTTGCCCTGTTAGAAAGTGTTTATTTGAGAAAGCTGAAGAATTGTGTTGGCGGTGTTTTGAATGTTCTGAGATTCTTAAACAGGTCTTTTGAAAAACAAACAAAATGCAAAAAAAAAAAATCTTTCAAAAACTATTTGTAGGAGGCAGTGAAAATATACAGGGAAGAACCACATCTCTTGAATTGTTCAGAAGTGAACTGTTTATCCCTCACTTTCTTAAACACATTATTTTCTGCTGCATTTGTGCTCTGAAATAATGATTTCAATGGGTGAAATGTCAGTGTTCTGCTCAGTTCTAAAGACTGAGTAATGTACCAATGTAAAGCATATTCAGCATGTTTTCAGTATTCAGACCTTCCTCAGGAATATTAACCCATCACAGTAAGGATTACGACTGGAGAGCTTTGTGAAACTCAACTGACCAAATGAATTGTGCCTGTTTCTGCAGAGTAAATTGATTTGAAAAGTTTCGTGACTTCCTAATGCCTGACTTAGGGCTTGGTGTAGTTGAAGAAATACAGGACAAATTATGAAGAGAGTATGGACCTGATGAGTAAACTAAATAAAATCCATTACTCTACTCTGCTTCAAAAAGTGAAGAAGAAAATGAAACGTTTTTTTAACACCAAAAGCACAAATGCTGTGTATTTGGTTATTCTACACTGAATATTCATGAAGCTCTGCAGTATGTTCAGTTAAGGTACTGGTTGCAATTAAAACAAGCTATGTGATTGAAATTTGCTTTTTGCTTCAACTTAGTTCAAAAGCACATTCAACATCCGTTTAGAACTGAAGTGCCTTTTTTTTCCTTTCACGCATATGATAGAAAAGTGTGATGCCATTCACTCAGGCTGGCAAGTAAATTGTTATGGAAAATATTGTAGATGCCATGTTTGTTTATCTTCTAGATTCCATTGTTTCTTCAGAAAATAATTTCTGAGATAACTGGATAATGAGAATTTCAGAAAAAAAAATCATAGCTGGCTCTGAGTTTAAATTTAAATATTTCCTTTAATAAAAACACAAAAAATGCCATGTTCAGTTAGTAACTTTATCCTCTTTGTTCTGTAAAAATATACTTTTTTTTTTTTTCTCCAAGAAGGTTAAAAACATAACAGTTGGAGGGAACACTTAGAAAATGAATTTGTAGGTTGTCTTTGAGCTCCATGGAAAATCAAATAAACATTGTTCTAACTAAGAAACATTAACAACAACCAAAAAGTTTGTGTTGGAAAAAAATCTTTGCATGCCTTAGAAACGTGTTCAACACAATTTGACATCACCTTATTTGCAGAGATCAAACAGTACCATTGGCATTAATTTATCTTTAGATAGATTGGAATCATTTTTTGCATAGATAAAGACATTATATTTCTTGTTTGTCAAGCTAGCTTGGTGATTGTTACTTGTTTGTAGCCAGTTGTTAGGTATTATAGAGAAGAAATAAAGGAAGGATTTGAAAAAAAAGATTAGAGGAACATACGCTAAATATTTATAGAAAATCTAGTAACTCTAGTTCTAAATTCTAGCTTTCTTATTTCTTTCAATCTGGGAGGCAAAACAAAAGTACTGGGAAGATGGTTTCCTAATGTCTGCAGCCTAGAATTTGGACTAATAAAGAGAATTAAGATTTTAATTCTTAAGAATTTAATTTCTTGGCCAATGTAATTAAGAATTAAGAGAAGGATAGAAGTTGTCTCTCTCTAGCTCACTATTCTTTCCCCTGCTCCAGGCAATTTATTTGGAAGGTAATCTGAAATAAGTCACTTCAGGAAAGGGGGTTATATAAAAAAAGTTAATTTTAGCCTAACGAAGTTTGTCTCCCTGGGCTTCCCTCTTGTCATCTGAGAAGAGAGAGGTTCCTCCAGAATGCAATTTAGAGAGCTTAAATTAAGTTCCTGATTTTAGGACAAGAACTTAAGTTGATTCAAAAACAAAGAAACAAAAATACCCCACAAACCAACCAACCAACCAAGACTGGGGGAGACGAGTGGCCTTAAAGTGAGTCTTCATGAAAGGTCCCCTTTATACATGTTCTCACTCCTCTCTCTCTATCTCTGCTTAAGGAATGTGGTAAAATAACTCTTGTATGGAAGATGTACAGAATTAAATAGGTCCAGGTTCTTTTTCTTCCCTTGATCCTTCTCTTGCACAGAACATAAAATTTGGTGTTACTTCTTTTGGAAGAAACATTTGCAAGAAATCTTAGATCAGTATTTAGCAACTGTATCCAGCCACATCCAAACTGATGGATCTTTGACTGAAACCAGCATTTTCAGTTGACAAGTGAAAGCAAATACCTGTGTTAATTTTAAGAAAAAAAGATCACTTCCTTGGCTTTTCAAGTTTTGATTTCTTTATGTCAACTCTAATAACTGTAATAGGACTAATGAAAGCTGGAGTTCAGTTTAACTGGACTGATAAAGAGAGACAGGTAAACTAGAGACAGTCTCATAATGGCTATCAAATCACAATTCCTAAGGCCAAAGTGCAAACATGAGCTTCAAGGGGAAGGGGGATACTGAGATGAGAATTGGATTTTTGGATGTTGGAAGGACTGTTTGTCACGTTCCTTTCTTGTCTGTGCTCCCAGGATTTGATGTTCAAAAGCTTCCCTTGCTTACTGCTGTCCTGCAGGCCACACAACAGGAGGATGAGATACGATGCCCTAAGGTTAAAGGCACAACAGCATTTCATCAAAAGAGCTCAGGGAACACTTGCAAGTTTAGAGGCAAACAAAATGTACAGTTTGTCTCTTCAAAGCCTTTCTGCAGTGAGTGGAACCTTTGACTGTGCTTTGTTGAAAAGAAAGGAGGTTGCTTACAAGGTTTCGTAGACAAGAATTAAATATAGTTTGTCTGTTTTGATCTTGTGCATTTATGATGTAAAAACCAGCAATAGTGCATGAAAAATTATATATATTATCTCTTTGTTGTTAAGGCAACCTTATTGTGGAGTTTCTCTTTTAGATTCAATTTCCTAGGCATACAGGGAAAATAATACTTACAGTGTGAAATAACTTTTAAAGTTGTGAAGTGGCTGATATACAATAGTACTAATTTCTTTTTCGATATTTTAATATCTCAGGAGGGAAGGTCATCCATCATATCTTAGACCAATCTTATAATATTTTTTTTTACATTTCCTTGCCTACTAAACCCTGATGTTCATACAGGGTTTTATCCTGAAGAAATATTAATTAGAGAGTATGAATATTCATATTTATACTGAAGAAATATTAATTAAAGAGAAGAGATGCTTCCAGAAAGCTGGGATTTATTCCTACTGCTGTAGGTTCTGTGAGAGGAAATCAGTGCCAGAGCACCTTCAGACATTCCCTGAGTTTGTACCATTTAAGCAGAGATTATTCCCGTGTGTTTTCTGACTCAGCCACATGTGAGACGTGGACCAGCAGTGTAGGCAGCACTGTACAGCTGAATGTGTGTGACAGGGAGAGGTCTCATCTCAATATAAACCAGGAATGTTTTTACAATCATTCACTGGAACAACCTCCCCAGGGCTGTGGTTTGTCCCCATTGCTGGGGGTTTTCAAGTTGCAGTTGGACAAGATGCTCATCAGTCTCATCCAGGCTCCCTTTCTCACAAAGGGTTGGGCCAGATGAGCTTTAAAAGTCCCAAACTGGGCTGTTCTGTGACCGTGATAATAAGTAGGAAAAAAGATGGAGAACAGCAATCAAGAGGTGTATGAACCTTCATGCCAGTCTCAGCTTCTTGATCTTCTGGGGGAAGAAGGAGGGGAAGAAGATTTCATACTGCTTTGCACCTGTGTCTCCTAGTAGTGTTGCAAGCAAATGGAAATTTCTTCATGATTGGGAATGTCATTTAGTATATGTGTGAGCAAGTGTGTGCATGTATCTGTAAGACTGCACAGTTGGAAATCTGCTGGCTCACTGTCTTTTCTTCTGTGAAATTCAGTTCCTTTCTCTATGATGCATCTTAAAGAACTGAAAATACTTTCAGTGACCTGCCACCCAAAGAGCCTCTTAAAAACATCTGAAGTTTGTTCATATGCAAGACAAAGCAGGGAGATGCCAGGCATGCTTCAGATTGAGGTATGTTTACTGCTTCAAGGAGGCTACTTAGGAATCCAGCACAGCACAGACCTGTGGCAGCAGGATCTTAATCCTGGCTGTGGTCTTAGCATGTACTGTTTGTCTTTACAAGAAAAAAGTAAGAAAAAGCCTTTTTCTGCCATTACTTCCTTCTGTTTGTTGTTCTGTCCATCCTTTCCTTCAGCACTGCTGAAGGAGATTTTGATGGGCAAAAAGG